ATCCTTTAACAAAGGGATAACTTCTGCCTCTTTCCATGCTATAGGGAACGAAGATGACGACAGTGAACAGTTAATGATATCGGTGAGGGGCCCAAAAATTACCGGTAGGCTGTGTTTGATGACACGCATACTCACTTTGTCTTTGCCGGGTGATTTGTTTGACGGCATAGCTAATATGATGTTCCTTATTTCTGAACAAGGGACTGGGGTGAAACTAAATCTATCATTTTCTTCAGGGTAGCTGTTATCTGTGCGATTTACGTCAGAAAGATTCCGAGCTGGATAAACACTAGGATCTTGTATTAGTGTTGAGGCTTTCTTTGCTGCATTCACACCAATGGTGGAAAAGAAATGATTAAACTCTTCGGCCACTAATTTCGGTTCCTTACTGTAAACCACCGACTCTCTTTCCCTATACGCTATATTTTCTTTAATTACCTTCCAAAGTGACCCAGTATTGTTTCTGTGTTGCTGAACTTCCTTCAGTACATATTCTTTCTGTGCATTAACAAGTGCGGTTTTTGTAAAATTGCGGGCCTCTCTGAAATTAAGTCAATCATAATGATCACGTGTTTTCCTGAAAAGACTGTGGAGCTGGTCTCTTTTGATCATGGATGCTTTTATTTCCGGGGTGATAAATGGGCAAGATTTTCCGCGTACTTTTATGGTCTTTACTGGGGCGTGTTTATCCAATGTATTTAAAAATATTTCATTAAAAATGGTTAGTTTTTCATCAACATTGTCCATTCTGAAAATGGAAACAAGACGACCACGGTTGGATGCCAGATCGATCGCGAACAAATCAGGGTCGTATTTATTGTAGCTGCGGGTAGTGATATAGTTTGGTGGAGATTTGTCGGTTTTAAGTTTTAGTGATACATACACAGGGAAATGATCGCTGATACAGGTTTCTATGACGCCGCTGTTGACTACTAGTCTTGGCGAGGATACGAAAATAACGTCGACGAGGGTCTGACTGGATTCAGTAATTCTTGTTGGTGATTTTATTAACTGGTTAAGGTTGAGTTCTTTTGTCGTCTTGATCAAAGACGCTGATCCAGGTGTGGGCTTAAGCATATCCCAGTTTAGGTCTCCAAGAAGAATGATCAACTTTCCCATCGTCAGAGCATGAACATAATTAGGTTTAAAATATTTTTCGAAGCAGTCAAGCGGGCTGTCTGGGGGTCGATAAGAGACACAGACCAACAGTGATTTAGATTTTTTGTGCTGTAATTTGATCCATAATTGATGGAAATTAGTCTCGGAGATATAACTGAGGTCTTTAAGTACAAGAGATTTAATATCTTTTCGTATGTAAGCACATACCCCGCCCCCTTTCTTGTGCAGTCGGTCTAAACGATGTAGCTTATAACCTTCGATTTCTATTTCCTTGTTTGTGACGGAGGTATTTAACCATATCTCTGATACTGTAAGGACGTCAATTTTGTTAAATTTGGTAAGCTTACGTAATTCTAAAAAATGGGCGTTATTTTTCAGAGAGCGGATGTTTAGGTGGACCAGTTTGAGACCTGGAAGGGTACTGAGGCTGTTATCTGACTTTTTTGTTAAATGGGCTGAGGCCGTATCATTAGTGGTTTTCGACGTGAATGACCACGAGAGTGCGGAAGCGTTTGGAGAGGTAGGGTTGGACAAAGGAACACGAACAAGATTTCTATTTTGCAAGTTATTGTTAACACTAGAAGAATTATTAATGGTTTGTTGATATGATAGTCTCTGACGTGATGGTCTCTGACGTGAAGTGATTCTAACAGGTATTTTCATCATATTGTCTGCTGCTGACTCGTCAAACAGGCCACTGTGTGGAGATGGGCCAACCACTCTAGAGAGTGGTGGCGGTGGGCTGTCCGATACGAAGGAATGACACGGCAACGTTTTAAAAAAGGATACCGACTACAATGGTGCCTTCCAAACCCTAAGGGGTTTGTAACTTGACCGTGTCTAAGACTTGAGGGTCTCGGGGTTGGAAGATGAGGGAACGAAGAATGCTTTAGATTTGACTCGCTGATTGACCTATCCGATCGGGGATTCACCTGGTCAGGGTTAAGGGCATCAAGGCTTAACACGGTTTTTGCATAGGATCGGTCGCAATTCCTACATATGCCTTGCTTCCCACGTTGCCTGAAATGTTGACACCCATCGGATAAATCCTGCTCACGCTGATCTAATTCATTTTCGTCAAAAGTGAGGTTTGCAGAAACATCTTCGATTATACTTAGATCTTCGCATAAGGGCAAATAGTTTAAAACATTCTTAGCCTGAAAAGGCTCGCGGTTCAGGCTTAATGAGTAATCTTTTTTGAAGTAGTTGATTGTAGTCTTAGATTGTTGTGTGGATAATAGGGCATTGTTCTTTATTTCAATGATAACTGTAGGGAAACTTTCCTCAGCGGGCAGGTTATCTACATTAACTGGGGTTGATAATGCACCAGATGGGTGATTTATTTTAGTTGATCCATCGTGTCGGGGATTTACATTGTCAGGACTGTTAAAGGACTTCTTATCTTGTAAAGATGGCTTTGAGGGACTTGAAAAGGTTATGGAAGCTGAGTCTTTAATCATCATTTTCTCCTCTAGGTCGGTAATGCGTGACTTTAAATTCAAATTCTCGTTTCCTAATCGGCACAGCTCTTGTTTATTTGTGTCAATAATATGATTTTGTTCAGACACTTTAGTCAACAATTTTTCTATTTGCGATTCTATTTTTTCTTTAAATGTAAGGAGTTGTGCCTCGGCTATAGTCGGGATATCATCAGCTCGTTGTTGAAATGGTGTAGAAAAGCTGGCTGTCTGAGCAAAATTCGGCGTGGCTGCGACATTCGCAATATAATATGCGCTATCAATGAAGTCCTCAAGTTCTTCGAGTGACGAAGTGTCAGCAATCGATTCAAACCCCATATCTTTGGCTTGAGTATTGTACGAACAATTGTGAGTTAAAGGGGCCATGTCCTCAAACACACGGCCATTACCAACGATATGTTCGCCTTCGACCGACATTTTTGTAGTTGTTTGGATTAAACTATCCGAGGTCGTATTTGTTTGCTTAATAACGCAATTTGTGTCTAATACGCTCACTAGAAATTCCTTGAAAGATTTGCCTTTCTTTCCATTGAAAGTCAACGAGTTTTGTTTGCCCGGGTAGGTGAATATAACAGCTTATTGCGTCAACTTCGACCAATCAACGTGTAGGATTTGTTATGTTCACTAGTGTAAAAATACTAATAAATTACTTACTTTTTATTAATTGTATTTTTGAATAGCAAGGTACGACTGCTAGGAATGTAAGGTAGCCAAAGTGTTGCCAAGGCATGCTCTCAGAATTTTCCAAAATCAATTAGCACAGTCATTAACCTTTTCACGTTTACATCTCACTTAACCGGAGGGCCGGGCGGTGGCATAAAAATTGATCATAACAGACCTTATTCATAATGACGTCACAAGTATTGATGCAAGCGAGGAATATTTGTCTTAATAGTTATTACCCAGGAAAATTTCGATATCGGCCATTGTGAATTAATTTTCCCGACTAACACTAGCATTCCTCGTGGGCATCAAGCCTTGTGACGTCATAATGCATAAGGTCTATTAAGGAGCAGTTGCAAACTGATGATTAAGTACCATAGACCTCCAAATGCAATCCCACCCGAGTATAAGTCCCCTATACGTACGTGTACAAGCCCACCATATTCACTAACATTCAGCCATTCCAAATATAAGCCCCCTATATATAAGCCCTGTAATGACGTAATAGTTACATCAGCATGCTTTAGGAGCATGCGCACTTGTAAAGAGAAGCTACACATGTGTTTGTGCATCGAAGGAGTACTATATTACATTTGGCGACGAGGACAAAAAAATAATAATAAAATATGGCAAAAGCCATACCCGATTTCGAACCATTTATAGTTTATGGGAACGACACTTCGAGCTCTTCTATTGCCACTCGCTGGAAAAAATGGTTGCAACGTTTTAACAATCTTATGGTCGCTATGGAATATCGGCAAAGAAACGGAAACGTGCTTTACTTATACACTTGGCTGGATCACAAGTTTACGATATCTTTGACACATTTACCGCCGAACAAAAAGGTTCTGAGAATGATTTTGACACAGCTGTGAAATCACTTACAACTTATTTCGAGCCTAAAAAGAATAAGGAGTATGAAATCTATAAATTTCGCCAAGCTAGCCAACGCCATGACGAAAAGCCCGATTCTTACCACACTCGCCTTCGACACCTTGCTTCCACGTGTGAATTTGCAGACATGGATCGCGAAATTAAAACACAAATTGTCCAAACATGCACGTCCCAACAGCTTCGACGAAAAGCCCTTCGTACTGAAATAACTCTCCAACAACTTTTAGATCAAGGCCGAGCCTACGAACTATCACACCAACAAGCTCAGGAAATGGAAAATAACAACACAGAATCAGTCAACCAGATGAAAACTGCTCCAACACGAAATTACTTTTCGAAGAACTTTAACTCACAACGTCAAGGACAAAGACAAGAATCAACGAAACTATGTTATTTTTGCAGCAAACCCTATCCTCATCCTCGCGTATGTCCAGCAAAAGGGAAAACGTGTCGACTTTGCGGAAATTGAATCACTTTGCCGTCGCATGCCGTTCATCTCCACAAAAACAACAACATCGCCACCATGAAAGTGACAAACGTCAGACGGTTAAATATGTAAACGAAGAAAACGCACGTGACATTACCAGTGAACACTCCGAGTCGGATGAATATACGTTTATGGTGCAAGATACAGACGAAAATACCAAACATCCAATGGTTATTATTGACACTGGAGCGACAGTTAATTTACTCGAAGTAAACGATTTTCAAGCCCTCAAACCGGAAATAAAATTGCAACACAGTTCTATCAACATCTACCCCTACAAGTCCGATAAACCCCTCCGTGTCCTTGGAAAGTTTACTGCTACTGTAGAATCGCGGAAACGAATTGATGCTGCCGAGTTTTTTGTCGTTAGCAACAACGGTCGCCTTGGAGGTTCTTTGTCATCCTACAATACTGCAAAGCATCTTGGTTTGATTGCAATTACTAACGCTGTGGACACTGCTAAGAACACAACTGTATCCTGCAATGTTGCAATACCTGAGGAATAATTCAATGGCGTTTGGAAAATTAAAAGATCATAAGGTGAAGCTACATATTGACGAATCAATTCCGCCAGTTGCTCAAACCCATCGGCGGATACCATTCCATCTCCGGAAACAGGTGGAGAAAAAGCTTGAAGAAATGGAAAAGGATGATATCATCGAGAAAACAGAAGGTCCAACGCCCTGGGTTTCCCCAATCGTTGTTGTGCCGAAACCCAAAAGTCCAAACGATGTTAGAATTTGTGTGGATATGCGAGCTGTCAACAAGGCAATCCAGCGAGAACGTCACATAACCCCCACCATAGATGACGTCATAGCAGATCTAAATGACGCTAAAGTATTTTCAAAGCTTGACCTCAATCAAGGGTATCACCAACTTGAACTCTCAGAAGAATCACGCTACGTTACAACGTTTAGCACCCAAGTCGGCCTGAGGAGATATAAGCGAGATTCAACAAAACCAGCGTTGAATATTTTGGATATGTATTCTCATCGCAGGGCATTTCACCTGACCCTCGCAAAGTCGAAGCTATACGCAACTCCCAACCTCCATCCAATCCAAACGAAGTCCGAAGTTTTCTAGGTATGGTCAACTTTTGTGCCCGATTCATCCCAAACCTTGCGACACTAGCTAAACCATTACAAGACCTGACAAAACAGCATGTCAAGTGGAAATGGACCAGACTGAACAACATGCTATGGACAGTATCAAATCCGTGTTAACCAGTGAAACAACAATGGCTTATTATAATCCCTCGCATAAAATTGAAGTTCTTGTAGATGCAAGTCCAGTTGGTCTTGGTGCTATACTTGTCCAATATCCTACCACTAGAGATCACAGTGCTTCGCCTCGTATTGTCAGTTATGCCAGTCGGGTATTAACTCCTGTAGAGACTCGCTATTCACAAATTGAGCGCGAAGCTCTGGCTATTGTCTGGTCATGTCATAAATTTCATCTATATTTATATGGTACCCAATTCTCTGTTATTACTGATCCCAAGCCACTGCAACGTCTTTTCAACGACCCACAAAGCAAACCACCTGCTCGTATTGAACGATGGTTATTAAAGGTACAACCATATCGTTTCAATGTTCAGTATCAACCCGGTTCTGACAATCCAGCCGACTTTATGTCCCGCCATCCGTTGCCATCACCACCTACCAGCCATGAGGAGAGATGCGCTGAAGAATATGTTAATTTCGTTTCAATGCATGCTGTTCCCAAGGCCCTTACACTGGAAGAAATCAAAGAAGCCACAAAAGTCGATACCACACTTCAAGCTGTCATTCAAGCAATTCCAACCAAACAGTGGCATAATGCGAAACTCCAACCTGGTGTTGATCGCAAGTCGGTAGAATGTTTTTTTCACATCCAAAGAGAACTGTCAGTTAACAGTGATCAAAGTCTCCTCCTACGTGGTACCCGTATAGTCATAGCAAGTGAACTTCAAAACCATGTGATGGACCTCGCACACGAAGTCCATCAAGGCATATCACGGACAAAACAACTCTTGTGTGAGAAGGACTGGTTTCCGACCATTGATAAACAAGTGGAAGAAAAGGTTAGCTGCTGCTTAACTTGCCAAGTCGCAACAAACACAAGCAACATTGAACATTACGTATGCCTGAAGCTAGCAAGAATTCATGGGAAAGTGTATCAATTGATTTTGCGACCCGTTTCCCAGTGGCGAGTACTTACTTGTATTGATTGATGACTACTCACGATATCCCGAAGTAGACATTATTAGAACAGTAGTTCATATACAACTGTTATTCCCTGTCTTGACAAAATCGTTGCTACTCACGGAATTCCCAGAACGGTAAAATTGGACTATGGCGCCCCATTTTATAGTACAGAATTCAAACAGTTTGCTAATTATCTTGGTTTCCAACATCAGCGTATAACACCCTATTGGCCTCAGGCAAACGGAGAAGCCGAACGATTCATGAGAACGTTAAAGAAAACAGCTAGAACTGCCAAAGTTGAATGCAGGTCTTGGATTCGAAACAAAACTTGTTTACCTTCCTCAGAAACTACCGAGCTACGCCCCATAGTGAAACCCACCAGGCTCCTGCAACCTTGCTATTCAATCGTGCCATAAATGTCAAGTCACCTCAGTCACAAACTGTAGCACCAGCTGACCCAAACCATCAACAAGCACTTTGATGCATCATGTGAGTCAAGACAAAAGAACAAGGTCCACTTTGACAAACGGAACAAAGCCAAATCTTTTGAATTCAAAGTCGGTGATGCAGTCCTGCTGAGAAACTCAAAGAAAGGTAAATTGCAGACCCCTTATGAACATCAGAAATACCAAATTGTTAAGAAGAAAGGATCGATGATTACAGCGTCAAATGATAATCGCCAAGTCACTCGGAACTCATCACATTTTAAAAAGTTTAAAGAAAAGAAAGGTGAAACAGATAACCCAGGAGATAAAGAAGAACAGCCGAGCAAGCAGAACACCAATGAACGCCCGAAAAGGAAAACAAAACCACCAGGCTACTTTGGATATAAACAGTCAGATAAGTAAAACATTTATAATGAACTTTAATTGTCTAAGATTAAGTCATCATAAATGAACTTTAAAATAAGACATTATAGGAACTTTCAGGTTGATATTAGTTAATCACAAACAGTTATAGTGAATGCAAAAAAAAACTAAAGGTTTAAAGGGATGTAATGACGTAATAGTTACATCAGCATGCTTTCGGAACATGCGCACTTGTAAAGAGAAGCTACACATATATTTGTGCATCGAAGGAGTACTATATTACAGACCCCTCCATTCACAAGCCCTCAGGGTTTGTATTATTGGACAGGGATATTATTAATTTAAAGCAGTGACTGCAGGGTTTCCAACGTACAGGTTAGATGAGTGACAATAATTACACCAACATGTTTTATGTATAGATTATAATATATATTATATGTTTATATTATATATACTTCTTTTCGTTCACACCATAGTTTACAAGTGGATAAATGTTATTACTAACGTCAAATGTCGTCCGTATACAAGCCCCTCCCCCCCTCACGCCCTCATAGGCCCTGAGATACGCAAAACCGGAAGTGCAAGAAAGCTTGCAGTAGTTTCTAAAGCATACACTCCTGAAGGGATGCTTTAGCACCCATAACAATTTTCACAGAGAAATATTACGAAGAAGCAAAGTATTTGTGTTGACATCTTTCGATAGAAAACGTTTGCCCAGTAACAATTGCTCAACTTGTGCGAAATAGCAGTCCTCTGTAAAGCCAATCAGATCTCTCCCTTTGGTCGTCTAACCCAGAGTGAATTTTCAACGACTGACCGAGTGAAAATGACACTGGGGGCGAGAATGATTTCCTTCTGAAAAGAACTAAAATTTCCCCAGTACCTGGATAGATTGATATTGTAATAAACCCTTAATTGTGTGTTGTGTTCTTGCCCTGGGGTGGGGATGTTTACAAAGAATCGTCCATGGCACAGGAGCCCAAACGTTGATCTGTGTTAGTGTTGTATGTTTTTCAGATTATTTATCAGTTAGTGTCTTTATAATATATTGCCTTTTAATTGAATTATAACACTAAATTACACTAATATGTCATATAATAATAATATTCCTATAGTCGAACATATAATAACAACATATAAGTTGATTTGTATTTGTATGTTTTTCAGTTTATTTATTTAAGATCTATTATTAGCTTATATAAATGCACCGCCTTTCGAACCTGACAGCCCGTTCGCAGGCTACACGAGGGATTTGAAATAGGGGGCGGCAACAATATTTGTCGTATACTGAATGCCCCGACTTGAGTGCACCAATAATTATGCAATGAGTGTTGTGTCGAATAACGCCGTCAACATTTAGGAATCAATGATATATGATATAAACAAGGAAGCAAACTCGAATACAACTCGAGGTGAGAAGCCAATTTGTGTCGATCGTAACGATTTCAGTGTTTAAAATTTAAAATTAAATAATTTAGGTCCAGTCAAGTCCAGTTAATGCTACGAAACCTCGCTATTAAAAGCTATAGCAATTTATAAGACTCTAGGGCTTTTATTTCACAAAATTTTTCAATGGCTATGTACTTTAGCCCTAGACATATCAGGTGGCCGAATTTCAAGCTAAAATTCGTTTTAACAAGCACATACGGCTTCAAAATAAAACATTCCCGTCATGTAATTTCATCCCTTGTCACATTTCTTATTTCAGTGCGAAATAACGCGTGTAGCCTGCGAACGGGCTGTCAGGTTCGAAAGGCGGTGCTTTTATATAAGCTAATAATAGATCTTAAATAAATAAACTGAAAAACATACAAATCAACTTATATGTTGTTATTATATGTTTGACTATAGGAGTATTATTATCATATGACATATTAGTGTAATTTAGTATTATAATTCAATTAAAAGGCAATATAAAGAAACTAAAATAAATCAACTGAAAAACATACAACACTAACACAGATCAACGCTTGGGCTCCTGTGTCCATGACGGCCGAGAGGGATAAAGCGTGCAACTATCCCGGGGTTGTACCTCCAGGGATGGCCGATGGTATGTGCATAATATGTAACAAATAGTGGTCATAAATAAGCATTTCAATGGAAGTAGAAATTCTATAGTCCTTTAAAAGTAGTTTGAAATTATACTTTCATGTTTACAAATCAGATTTTAATTTCAAGCACCTTTCATTTAGCATTTTGGTATTATTCTAAAAATAGCCACCATGGGTTTCGTAGCACAATTGAAAGTTATATGCAAAAATACTGACCCAGGCGAATTCAGGACGTATATACATAATTCATAAATCTTCCAACTCTTTCACCTGTATAACTGCATTGTTGTCTATTCCACACGTCACGTTAAACATTATAATTTAATATCATGCTTGCTTGACCTTTAGACGGCGAAGTTCCACACAAGCAGGAATGTTTATATTTCATACAATTATTGCTGTGCATCGCTATCTTTGTATTTCTGTCTTGACTTTGTAATTGATGCTGTGCATCGCTATCTTTGTATTTCTGTCTATGTCGAGCTGTAAGATATCCTTTTGACCATAATAGGATTTATTTGCAATAATTATAAGCGTTGATCATGAATCGACAATGCCGTACAAAAATTCAAAAAAGCGGTTTCAAAAGAACATATTCGTACTGGTTCAAATAAATAGCAGCTTTGGCTTTTTTAGTTGTTTTAGTAAAATTCTTAAATTTTCTTCAAAAATTAGGGGTTTTTTATGGAGAATTTGGGTAAAAATTGGCAGGAACCTTATGGATAATTTAGGTAAAAATTAGGCAGCTCAATAATATTCTATTTTATGGCTATCGACGACGATTGGAGATCCACTATTGGAAATCGATCCGCTATTGGAGATTGCCGATCCACCACAAATGCGTGCCGAAACCTATACTCGCCAGGGCACAGAGTTCCTATGCGAGTGGGTCAACTATTGTGAGTTTACGCACACTTGGGATCAATTAATTCTGAATCATGCAAATTCTAAAAACATTGTATTTCAAAGGGTTTGCAGGTTTTTTCATACATCCCGTAGAGAGCACTATACAGAGTGCATCAAATAAAGGAGACCTTTAGAAATAAACGATATTGTTAAAATTTGAATGCCTTTTCAATTGCACATATGCTGAACCGTGGTGCGTGAAATATTGATGTTATTATCGAAAGGGAAGTGCTGCCTCACCACCAAAGTCCTGGGGATTGATTATAGCAATAATACACTGTATGTATGAATTTATTTTGTTTAAGAAATATCGAAATTACAACATGCAATAATTACTATATATACTATAAAGTGTAGTTCGGATTTTCATATTTAAATTTATGCCTGTGATTGTTGGTACCAATGTTTTAATTAAACCATCTTCACTTGTCAAAACGTCTAGAAGAACACAATTAGGAATATACACGATATGTCTTTTAACGTGATATGACCAGTTTGTTGCAAGTTTTCATATTCTTTCCAAGGTATTCTTTCCATACTTATTTTCCATTTGGTAAACAAGTCTTATACTATTCGTTTTTTGTCCAATATATAAATATTTCGTATTTATTTAGGATATACAGGTAGTATCCATTGTTGGCCATCATTATTGTCCAATAACTTGTTAGGTTACTGTACATATAAAGGTATGTAATATCTTGACATACAATGTTCCTGACATCCATATGGTAGATTGGAAACAGGTACAGCAAAAATAGTACATGGCAGATTCCATCCCATTGCATTAGATGTAATATATCCATACAAACTTGTAAATCAGCATTCTTGTTTTAATAGAAATACATTTGTGTTAATCCAGAAGTTCCCATCCATTTTCATGCGATGTAATATATCCATATTATATTTTGAATTTAACGACCATTTGGTCTCATCCAGCAGTTAACATTACATGGCACCATTCACATCCGTCAGAATTGCAAAACTACATAGAAAAAATAATTGCGAGCATGAGATATTTACTTAGAAACATGGTAGAACATATAAATGAATGAAAATAAAAGTAGGGCAGGGGGAGGGGTTTAACAAACAAAATACTTACCATTATTTCAACTTGCAAATCATAATATTTTCATACATACAGTGATAACAATGAGTAAATTATTTAGTTATATAATAAATTAAATTATATAACTGGGATCCATATATGAAATCCGTCTCTTATTCAACCTCAATAGTCTGTTGTTGTAAAAACATCTAGCCTGTTTTGTTCTTCAAGCCTATATTGTAAGTTAGCTGATGATTTCAAGCTTGTTAATCGTTCATACGTCATTGGTTCAATGACACAAGATGCAAGTGATTTTACTCTGCTAATAGCAACATAGGAAACTCCAGCAGTTCTTTCAGATTTTCCAATATCTATCCATGCTTTTGGAAGCGTAAGTCCTTGGCTCTTGTGTATTGTTATAGCCCAAGCAAGCCTAAGAGGTAACTGTTGTCTCTCATGGAAACCTATTT